AGTATACAATACGATCAACATTTCTGTGACATGCATTTCATACATATCCACTCACTATATATAATAACTAAGTAATACAACCGGCAAAGCAGTTGTTGACACACATCCTTAAAAAGGTGGGGGACTTTCTATCACCAAAAGACATTTATAGGCAAGACAAATAGATGCACGATGCTTTGTATACGATGTATCCTGGTAGACATTGTGTTTAGAGACGGCAAAGACAAAATGTGCCTTCTTATTGACACGGTAGTCCCTGCAGACTGAAATGTATCTTTGAAGGTATTTAGAAAACTATCAAACTACAAGGAAATCGAAATCTCAAAAATGTGGCACATGTGGACATCAACAATTCCAATTGTAGTTGGAGCCCTCGAATAGATTGGAAAAAATTTCCCATAGATTCATTGAAAGGATTCGTGGTAGCCCATGCCATAAACAAATAAAAAATTCCTCACAAGTACAACCATACCTTTCTTTTTATGTGCCATGTCCTTTCAGAACGTTGGCGGTCATGGCTCTCCACCTCTTTCTATCCCTTGCAGCTCTCAGCAAGTTAATTCCTCTGCTTCCTCGCCTAGACATCGTTCTGTCATCCATCTGCTCAAGCTCGTCAGATATATCACGCGCTGCTTTCTCTTGTCTCTCTTTCCCTCTATTCGACCCGTGAGTATCAGATTCTCCAGGTCCTCTTTCCTCATTATGTGTCCCAGAAACATCAGCCCACACCTTACAAAGGCTTTATCTATGTAAAATATTTGTGATTGTTTTTTTTTTCAAAACTGCTTAGTGGAAAATTTCATAGTGCCATTTCTGACCTTAGGTCTCTGGTTGGGACCCGGAAAGTGATGAGTATATGCCAGAAACCAAAGGAAATCAGATAATAATAATAATAATAATAATAATAATAATAATAATAATTTTCTTCTTCTTTGTAAGATATTAGCTTCAGTATCGTGCTAAGCGGATACAATGGCTACGTGTTAATATTATTCAAAGAGAATAGGTCTAATAGGATCCCTTTTTTAAAATATTAGCAATTATGTAAGAATAATGAATTTTTAGAAGAGATAATTTGGTGTTTACCTAGAAACGCATTTCACGAAAAAAAAATCAAATTCTTTTTTCCCATTAGTTTCGAAAGCAATCCAGATAAGGAATGTAATTTTAAAATATATAAGTTTAAAATATATATATATATATATATATATATATATATATATATATATATATATTTTAAACAAAATATATTTAGAAATTTCTACACTTCAAAGGTAAAATTGCAGTTCATTTCTTACATTTATTGTAAATTGATCAAGTGACGCAAGCATAATAATAATAATAATAATAATAATAATAATAATAATAATTCTAATAATAATAATAATAACATTAACATCAACAACAAAAATAATAATAATAATAATAATCCGTACCCATCAGTGGCTACGTAGTGCAGGGTTAAAAGCTGAAACTGAAGGTTTTATCCTTTCTGCACAGGACCAATGCTTGTTAACTAGGAATTATCAAGCACATAAATTAAAATATTGTGTTAGCCCAAAATGCAGATTCTGTGATAAATATCCAGAAACGATTGATCATCTTGTATCAGGTTGTACGGTGTTGACACCCACTGAATATAAAACCCGACATGACATATCTGCACTGGAAAATCTGCAACTTCTACGGGAAGGAAACTGAAAGAAAATGGCATGAACACCACACAAACCCGGTTACGGAGATAGGACCTGTTACAATTCTATGGGACTACACAATACACACTGACAGAACAATCAAGGCCAACCACCCAGATATTGTTATTAAAGACCACAAAGAAAAAATAGTGCCTCCTTATTGATATGGCAGTCCCTGCAGACTGTAATGTATCTTTGAAGATATTCAAAAACTGTTAAAATACAATGACCTTGAAATCGAAATCTCGAAAATGTGGCATATGGGAACATCAACAATCCCTGTTGTAGTTGGATCCCTAGGACTGGTTGGAAAAGATTCCAGTAGACTAATTGAAGGGATTCCTGGAAGTCCATGCCTCAAGCAGATACAAAAAATTGTTCTGACAAGTACAGCCCACACTTTACGAAGTGCTTTATCTATGTAATTTTTTTTTTTTTTTTGTCAGTGGAAAGTGTCATGGTGCCATTTCTAACCTTAGGACCCGGAAAGAAATGTGTAAACGCCGGAAATCAAAGAAAAAAAATAATAATAATAATAATAATCGAACTTAATGGGACCATTAAAATGAAGGATATCAACACCTTAGCTATACGCGTAGTAACATACAGCTTCAACATTATTAAATTGAAGCTGGGTGACATTTAGAAATTGGACGTCAAAACCAGGCGAAATGATTACCCAAATGAGGACGCACCGCCCGGAATCAGATGGTGATAGGCTGTAGGTTCCAAGAGTTTTAGGAGGCTGAGATATAATCTATCTTGAACTAACTGTAAAAGCTATAATAATCGGATTGGAAACATACCTCACAAAAACCAAAGACCCTCTTCTACAGATAGTAAAACACCAAATCCGCTCCATCAACAAAGAATATGCGCCGTTTAAGATCATCTTGCGGCCTCAGCCGAGATTGAACTCGGCAATACTCTGATTGGTGTAGTTTATAATCTTGTCAAATAGCTGAATTCTTGATGCTTCGCTAGGGCTATCAAGGGTGTTTTTATCGTGACACCATCACTAAATGGATTGCCAACAAAGGCTCAGAGAGACTCCATTCACCCCCCTCTAAGACCAGGTTTGAATTCAGAGTTTTCCTTCTCCTAGACCAGTTGCCATCCAAGGCTATAGAACCCAGTCTGTCCTGCTATTTACCCATAGCTGGAGGGAGAAGAAAGAGGATTCACACCTTTCTCAAGGGTGTTAGCACGTAAAGGAATGTAATGGATTCGACTGGAATTCGAACTCGGCTCTCTGATTCCTCAATCCAATCCGCGCCTCCTGTTTAAGAAACAGCTTAATATACCTGAAATTCTACGAACAATAAGCGAAGCGAATGCCATATACGCCCAACAAAAGAACACAGCGGAAAGCAACACAACTTGACCAAATGAAATTTACCGAAACCTGGAAGGACAATGTGTTACATGGCACATACCTAAAAAGAACAAAATTAACAAATGTGAACCAACAGAAAACACACCAGAGACTAAAAAGCACCCGGTTGAAAGCTGAGACAGAAGACCTAATTCAAGACCAAAGCTTCGCAACCAGATCCTATCACTCTCATATAATCAAGGAGGGAACTACCCCGAAATGCAGGATCTGCGGAAAATATGATGAAATTGACGACCATATTATATCAAGATGTCCGGAACTGGCAAAATATGAATATAGTCTGAGACAAAACAAGGTAGCGACATATGTGCACTGGAAGATATGCAAGAAGCACAAAATCGAAAACACTGAGAGATGGAATGGACACCAACAAGATATAGTTAACTAAAATAATGATGTAACTATCCTCAGGGACATGCCAATTCAATCTGACAGAGAGATAAAAGCCAAACAAACCTGATATTATCATAAAAACAAGAAATTCAGGAAGTCTAGTGCTTATTGACATAGCAGTACCTCTTAAGAGAAACACCTCCATAAAAATGATCGAGAAATTGTCCAAATACAAGGACCTGGAGATCAAGATTAACAAGATGTGGGGGATGAAGACTGAGGTTATACCAATAGTAATCGGAGCTCTGGGCCTCGTGAGAAAAGGAATGGAAAATTTTACTAACAATGTCCCAGGTAACATCTGTGGATGTTATGGATATTAGTGCTGGGTTGATTCTTTCACCTAACCATCCAAAAACTTGTTGAATGCCTTCGTCGCTGAAATAAATTGACAAAGAAAAGACGGAAGGACACAGAGACACTAGAGGGAGAGTTTAGGACACTGATTTTATTTCCTTCTTCTGGATTCCAACGAGCTCTTGTTGGGGAATCTCTTCCCGAACAGTTGGCACGTGTTCACCAGTCAAAGGTCCAACCGAGAAAAAGACAGATTCTTCTAGTTTATCTTTGGCGCCAGGAAATCACTCTTTTTTTTTTGCACATGCGTAAATTGTCTTTCCTGTCAGAGGACTCCTGGGAGATTTTAATGTTTATTTTATTTTATACTTTTATTTAATTTTGTATTTTTATTTTATTTTGTATCTTTATTTTATTCCCACACATCTACATACAAGTTACCCAGATGGTCGCCCTACTAGGAACATCCCATATACTAAGAAAAATTCTATCAATTAAATGACAATTCTCCAATAGGTCCTGGGGACCATACTTTGAGTCTGGCTCGACAGGATACAAAGTAAGAAACATAAAATACACAAATGATAATTATAATAACAACACTGATAA